AGAATACTCAGAACTCAGAATGTAATCTCATATTGCCATTAACTGCGGCATCTGTGCCAAAAGCAACTCTGAGGTATCAAGAAAAGAAAGACCAGATGTCCAATTGTTTGTACTATGAAGTGTATTTATTTTTTTGCAAGTGCTAAGAGGCCTCTCTCTTGTAGGAGGGAGCAGACTTATATATAGTCTTACAACACAGTGGAAAAACCCCAGGTGAAAGAAAGCATGCTTTCCTCCTGCTAGATGTTGATGTCAGTGGGGCAATGTGGGGGGCAGAAAGCCAGAGCTACAAAAGAGGATGCACCTGTGGCTATCAGCTGACAAAAAACTCAGAGACCCTGTGGGGGCTAGGCTCCAACATCTCCCCCTTTTTTTTGAAATTTTGTTTGAAGTGTTAGCTACTGTATAGCATCTTTCATATAGATTTATTTGGCTCTTAGGCCATGTCATAGGCTTTTGTTATTTTTTCAGGGGATACAGCCATACCCACTCCTTGTAAAAAGGTTTTAGTTATGACTCACAAAATTGAATTGCATTTGTAGCCCTAACCAACCATATATAAATGCAAACAACCATTTAAAAACAATATTTGGGAATGTGGGTATTGCTCTTTCCAAAATACTTCCTGCTGTTAAGGGGCGCTGTTCATACCAAGGGGATCATGACAAAACTCAGAAACCTGTATAAATCCTTATTTTGGGGGTCTGTAAGGATGCATCATCTTACCTGTTTTAGATGTTGAATCACTTGGGCCAGTGCTTCCAGTGGTCTTGCTTCATTAAACCATATTAGTCTGGAAGGAACCCACAGCTTTTTATTTTCTGTGGAAACAAAAGCAGAAATTTTTTCCCGAGTAACCTGACCTTATATTTAAATTTAGAAGTCAAAGCATTTTCAAAATATGTAAGTTGGATTATTTCATCAGCATTAATAATCAAATGCCATTTAGTAGTTTTTGTTTCTTTCTTAGAAACTAAGCAGTTTAAAGACAACACAACAGCACACAGTATCCAGACCCTCCATGCATTTTCCATTCCATATACTTTTAACTTTTTCTTTCCTTACACTTAATATAAGTACCTCGTTTACAAACTGTTACCAATGTTCAATTCACCTATTTTCTGTCCATCCTCCAACCCAGGATGATCCCTCAGGCAAAAGCCTAAAGATTTACTCAATCCACCCTCCAACTGAGGGCGATCTCTCAGGTTCCCCTTTCTTTCCCGACCTTGCAGGCAAAGGTCTGCAGATTTTACCTGGTACCACTAACTTGGAACCCCTTTCCAATAACCCTCATAGCCTTACTTTCTGGCCAGCCTTTGAGGGCAGTCTCTCAGTTCCCCTTTACTTTCTTGACCTCAATGGACTGGGAGAAATGCTGCAGATTAATATAATACACCTTCTCCTTGGAAGGTGATCTCTCAAGCAAAAGCCTGGAGATTTGACTATTCAGTTTTACTGTTAGAAGTTGAGCTACCTTTTTTCAATTATTTTTCTTTCTCGAGTCTCTCCTCTTCTGAGTCTTCTTTCTGGACGATCTTTCCCAGTCTTTCCAAGTCTCTCTGGATCTCGGTGGGACCTCCAATTGCAGTGCCCTTGCCACAAGCTACTCCGAGTTATCAGAAAAAGAAAGACCAGATGTCCAGCTGTTTGTACTATGAATTGTCTTTATTTTGCAAGTGCTAAGAGGTCTCTCTCTTGTAGGAGGGAGCAGTATTATATATAGTCTTAAAACACAGTAGAAAAACCCCAGGTGGAAGAGAGTGTGGTTTCCTCATGCTAGATGTTGATTTCAGTGGGGAAGTGCAGGGGCAGTAAGCCAGGACTAGAAAACAGAATGCACCTGTGGCTATCAGCTGACAAACAACTCAGAGACCCTGTGCGGTCTAGGCCCCAACAATTAACTTGATATTGTATAAATCCTTGTTGGGTCAACTTAAAGTAAGACATTTCACCCATTCTCCTATTATTTACAAGTCTTCATCTGTGGTGGATTTTTTCAAACTTTCCCACATTTATGTTTGCAAGCACATTGATGACATCATTTTTCAAGTCTTGTCTGGCAACAGCAATTACACCTCATGGATGTAGCCTCCCAAAAGTTTCTAGGAAACACTATCTCAAAGTTACACACATACGTCTCTGGCTTTTACAACTTTCCCACTCCCTCTACTTCAATTATCCCTGAGCTATTTGTAATGTAGATATGCCATTTGTGACTGAGCATTATATGATACACTGATTTCTGTATTTTGATTAGTTATTTCCATGATGGTCTCTGTCTATTTCAAATATAAGTTGCATATTTTATAGGATATGCAATATGGAGTGATCAAGTTGCATTCATGTACTTGAAAATATAACAATTAAAGAAGTGCAGTGTATCTAAGAAAGAGCCTGTTGGGTGAATGGCAGTATTTAGAAGGAAATAAAGGAAGTGGGAAAATTATGTAATTAAGATATAATTTTTAAAAGTTAAAAAAATATTGTCTATAAAGGAGACCAAACTAACTTTTATATCTGATTCAAAATCAAATGAATGAAAAACTTTACCCATAAAAGAGTAAAAGAAATCCATATGTCAATATGGAAAAGTAATACTGATTGCAGAATAATAGTCTCTTGACAATGTGTTTCCCATCTAAGAATCCTAATATAGCAACTCTTGGAGGTGGTGCATCTATGGCAGGATCATAAAAAATAAGGCCAGTTGCAGTTGAAGTGATAGAGCCATTCAGCATAGACCTATATCCATTCATCTTCCTTTGACAATACATTGCCTAAAAAGCTGTGAAGCATAACAGTAAATTCAAGAGGATGTATATATCCTTCCTTATCCTAACTACTTAGAATTGATCACTCCTGAAAGACAGGAAGTCATAATGTTTAACAAGATGATCCATAGGACTGTACATCTTAAAATTACTACACACTCATCTATATTTCCACCCTTGAATATCTTATAAAAGCTCCTACAATTCTAATATCATTTTCCATAAAAGTCAACATTTATCCTGCAACAGTCTGTACCTATCTGTTCTCAGTGTAATTTCATGGTCTCCACATAGTATGATTCTATATTAAGTGGTTAATATTAGTAACTTTATCCTTCATAAGTTGACCAAAATATTTATTTTTCAATATAAACTTACATCCAAATTGTATGTATTTGTCTTTTACTACATTGTGGTGTGGTGCATCAGTATTTTCCTTGCTATTGAGCAGCAGCATCTTAAACTCACATGTAGTCTCTTGATCAAAACAAGACACACCAACATCAATAGTGTGTACCATTATTTTAAAAGTAGAAGACTTCAGGGAGATCCATATCTATCACCCTTCCCTAACTTAAGTCCAAATGTTTCAAAGACTTCAACATAAATCCAGACACACTGAACGACTTAGAAGAGAAAGTGGAAGGTAGCCTTAAATGGGTACCTTCCTGAACATAACACTAGTAGTGCAGACACTGAGATTGACAATAAATAAATGGTACCTCCTGAAACTGAAAAGCTTCTGTAAGGCAGAGGACACTTTCAACAAGACAAAATGACAGCCCAGACAAGGGGAAAAGTTCTTCACCAACCACACCTGACAGAGGGTTGATCTCTAAAATATACAAAGAACTCAAAAAGCTAGTCACCAAAGCACAAAATACTTCAATTAAAAAGTGGGATGCAAAAATAAACAATGAATTCCCAATAGAGGAATTTAAAATGGCTAAAAGACACTTGAGAAATTGGTCAATATCCGTAGCCATCAGGGAAAAGCAACTCAAAAGAACTCTGATATACCATATTACACGTGGAGGAATGGTAAAATAAAAAAAATACCATTGACAGTTTATGCTAGAGATGATGTGGAGAAAGGGAAATGCTCCTCCACTGATGGTGGGAGTGAAAACTGGTGCAGCCACTTTGGAAATCAGTTTGGTGACTTCTCAGAAAGATGGGAATCAGCCTAGCTCAAGATCCAGCATTTCTTAAGCATATACCCAAAGGATGCGCATTCATGCCACAAGGAGATCTGTTCAACTAATTTCATAGCAGTATTATTTATAATAGCCACAACCTGCAAGCTATGTAGATGCCCCTCAATCAAAGAGGGGACAGAGAAAATGTCATATATTTACACAATAGAGTACTATCCAGTGAAAAAAACAATGGTATATTGAAGTTCATGAATGCATCTTTTCCTTTATATTACAAAATGGACAATGCCAAACATTCTTTTTATTTTGACTATATTACCAGAAGAGGGCAACACTAACACATTTTCTTTCTAGTTCATAGTACCAGTCATAGAATTAAAACCACTGTCACACTAAAAAACAGCAAGTCCATAGGTTCTTAATCCACTTTGCCCCCAATAAGATCCCTTATGGTTTTGTTCCCTTTGTCTATAGTTGTCATGGCATTGACCGTACCTAAAATTAAAACACTAAACCTGGAGATCCAGCAAGTCCAGGGTCATCATAGCAGGGGAAAAAGCCTCTTCATGAACTGTCATCTAGAAACAGTCTTCCCTGATTCAAAAGATCCTTTCCTTCTGTCAATTGTTGCATGCAAGTCCCATATCTAATTGGTGGAAAATGAGTTAACATTCAAGTTAAGATTCGATGATCAAAGAAGGTGTCACCTGAGTAACTTCCAGGAAATCAAGGAAGCATATAATGTGTCCAAATATTCTTGAGTTACATTATAAACAATCAAGCTCAACACATCTTTATCATGAGAAAAATAATCATCAAACTACTTAGAAGATCAAATTAAACCAGGCTTCACAGAAATGCATTGGCAATACTCTGGGTCAGAATTATTCACCAGAAGAGAGAAAAAGAAAAACAAAGGAATGTCCTTCATTGTCAGTGTAATACCTCTAAATATGTAGACACTGCTTTGAGTTACCCAGGTTTGCCCTAAATATAGGTTTACAAGGGTGTATAAGCCAAGAGCTGTCTATGACATATCTTGTTATTTGCATATTTCATCCTCAGAAACCACAACACATCTCACAGTTGTTTAAAAGTTATGGACTTTTCAGAAGAGTAGCAATTAATCTGAGATTGAGACTAGAAAACGCAATGGATTTTTGGGTGCAGATCTTCAGTTTCATGCTCATCAGTGTCACAGGTAAGATAGACTCTGAGTTCAGAAACCAATATTATTTTGTATGTAAGATAAATTGCCTTTCATTTTGTGTCTTCTAAATATTGTATTATGTCAAATAATTTGTGTGTCTCTATGTATACTAACCATGCTCTCTTTCCTTTTTTATCCTGATCATAGGGTCCAGAGGAGAAGTTGTTCTTACCCAGTCTCCAGCATCCAGGGCTGCATCTCATGGGGAGAAGGTCACTATCAGCTGTAGTGCAAGCTCAAGTGTAAGCACCAGCTATTTCAACTGGTACCAACAGAAGCCTGGAAGTTCCCCTAAACTTCTGATTTACCAAACATCCAACCTGGCTTCTGGAGTCCCAACTCACTTCAGTGGCAGTGGGTCCGGGACTTCTTATTCTCTCACAATCAGCAGTGTCCAGGCTGAAGATGCTGCCACTTACTTCTGTCAGCAGACATATAATTACCCATGACCACAGTGCAATAGACTGGAACAAAATCCCCTAACATACCTACAGCCCAGCTACTTCCTCCTAGAGATTAAATAAGGCCAAAGTTTTAGTGATAATTGGCAGGATCTCTCAGAGTTTCTTCAGTGGAGGCTTTATGTAATATATACTATATATATGCATATATATATATATGTGTGTGTGTATGCTTCTTACTTTTAATATTTCTTATATTAAAACTTTTAATGCAAATCTGGTATATTCTTTTACCTCTATCAATTTCATTGGTTTATTTAGTGATGAAAAATTGCTTCTGGAAATATTGCTTATATGTTATATTGCTGCATTGATTGAGTTTGGAAAATAATGTACTTATAAGTGTCCCATTAGCTTTGGCTTATGGTCATGTGAGGCTTATTCACCTACTGGGGTGTTGACTTTCCAGCCTGGTAGATTTTACTGTTTTCATGTGTAAGTCTATTTTGGAACAGGTGCATTGATGTGTATTCAACAGTGTGATTTGGTTACTTTAATGTTTTCTCATGCCTATGGAGAAATTGGAATTTTCCAGTGTCTTGGGAGGGGGATGACATTACAAGTCAGTCAGAAAAACCATGTAAATAAGCTACTTTTGTAGAGAACTAATAGATGCAGTGTTAGAGTGGAGACTATGTCAGGCTGCCGCAAGTCATCTTATTTACCGGTTTGTTTCAAATAATAGCATGCAGAATTCCATAGAGGTTGCCGTATTTATTCTTTACAATGCCATTTTCCTCTTAGGGTGACTCAATGTCTTAAGTTTCCAACTGCACCGCAGTGCTATCCTCTAGTAAAACATGTTTTTTTTTAATTCTCTATTTTTGTTGTTTGTTGAAGAAAAGTGTTGCTAACCACAACCATTTATTCACTTCACTGGAAGTCTCCAGAAATTTTTTCATGTAGTCTCTACCAACTTCATTCATGTCAGGATCTTCTCTGGTTGATTACTCTCCTTCAAATTTGTCACTTACTAGAAATAACTGCCTCTGTCTTCCTAGTGAAAAGATTATACATCCTCCTCTGTTTTCTGATTTTTGTTCCACAAAAGACCTTATTTTCTCTGAAATTGTCCTGGTGATTTATACTTGAAATGTTTTACTCTCTAAAAATATTTCATGAGAGATAAATAGAATTATCTGTCTATTTTTATTACAAATCATTGAATCAAACTACTAATAATGAAACCCACAGTGAGAGATGTTCTTTCATCGTGGACTCTTGTGGGAGGGCATAGTCACTGCCCTGAAGGAAGGATATGACAGACTCTGGAGATCCCCCAGGACTTCCTCATACTCCCTGGGTAACAGAGTGGGGATTGGGTTGGTGTGGCAGGGGAGGAAAGGAGGGAGAGAGAGCTGGGATTCAGATGTGAAGCAAGCATGTCTCTAATTTAAATAAAAATAAAAAGAAAGAAATCAATAAGGCAATAGAGGACTAATAAATGCACATTTAATTTTTGTTCATATATTTGTGTGTAGGTGAATGAACACACATGTTGGAATCTGAGGACAACATTCTAGAATCACCTCTCCTATTTAACCATCAGGGTCATACTAATTGACACAGATTGTCAGATTTGGCAAGCATGTTTGCAGGCCAAGCCATCTATCTCACCTTTAAAATTTCTTTTAAATTCTGAAGAAATAAATCAAAGATAGTACTTGATAAAATGTGTATATACAATTAGCTTTGTAGATTTGATATTGAGAAAATGATTATCCTACCAAAACCTATGGATAGATACAATGTAAACCAGATCAACATCTTTTCAGACAGAATAAAAGTCTTAGATTTCAAATGGAAACTGATTAGAAAGATTAAAACAGGGGGAACTACAATAACTAACCTTGTTATACTATAGAAGTAGAATAATAAACAGTATTTTATTAGCACAGACAAAGTTTCAGATTACTTAAGTAGACCTGAATACTCAGATTTTGACAAACAAGCAGAGTGAACCATGTGCCAAACATATAAATATGCAAACCCCTAAACTGGTGGTTACAGAAGAAAAGACAGCATCATTAACAAACTTCTCCAGAAAATGTGGATGTGCATATAGAAAATGCAACCAGACAATTATATATCACCCATTACCACCTAATTGTTTAAATATTTCAATATAAAACCTGAAAATGCAAAATTTTTGAAGCTGTGGTATATGCAGTATGAGAGACTGTTGCTTTTGTTTTCTTTCCTACTAGCCTGGTCCTATAGCCACCTCAACCCCAAAGAAACACATAAATGGTATATTAGTTTTAAAATTGTTTACCAGTTTCTTGGACTTCCTATTGGCTAACTCTGTCTTAATTATTAACCCATTTCTATTAATCTATATATTTCCACATTATCTTGGCTTACCAGAATACAGCTCTCTTGTCCTCTCTTCCTGGGTTCTACATGATGACTCCATTTGCCTATGTTTCCCAGCATTTTCCTCATCTCCTAGACTTGCCTATACTGCCTGCCTCGCCAATCTGCCAATCAGAGTTTTATTCATCAATGGATAAGAGAAAGATTTAGTCAGAAACACTTTGGCCATCAAGAGACTTTGCTAAATTGGTATGACTTTGATACAGTGGGTTAGTGATTAGGGATAGGGTTTGATTGTCCAAAACGCCATTCATGGCCAAGTAATTTCTTCATGCTGCCACTGGATCAGGATTTAAAGATGTTAGTGACACAGTTGCTAGCATGCTCCCTGCAATGAGGATAATATAATAACCATCTGAATCTAAAAGCCAACCCCAAATTAGATGGTTTCTTTATAAGCATTGTCTTAGGATGGTATTATTTCACAGAAATAGACCAGTGACAAAGAAATTATTTATTCAACACATAAGATAAAAAATTGGCAAGAAGGACTTCCTGAAGTTAAAAAGCTTCTGTTCAATAAAAAAACAAAAACAATCAATTGATTGAAGGATAAGTCTACAGAATGGAACAGTCCTTACCAACACATCTGACAGAAGATTAGAATTTAGAAATCATAAGGAACTCCAAAATGTAAACAAATAAGCCAATAAAGATTGATAGATATCAAGAAATCTCATAGAAACCTGCTATATTATAATGAAACAAAAACAAAATAAAACTGTACACCATATGGCTAAAAAAAGTTATTTTCAGAACTGCATCATTAAGCAGATGCCCAGTAACAGGCAGGAATTTATCATTAGTTATTGGTCATGGATAATCCAGAGACTGTGCAACCATTAGGGCATCCTCTTATTTCTCTTATTTGCCCAATAGAACAGGATGATGTGATCATATTTCTTAGGACACAATGTACTTCAGATACACAATAGAGGAATTAAAGTGGACATGATCTAGATGCTTTTCCTTGCTGGACAATAGTTTGATATTTCCTGGGAAAAAATCACTAATGATCTTACATTTGCAGGAATTCTACATATACTAACCTAAAATGACAAGAAGGTGTGCCCACTTGCACAACAGTGGAACTATTTTCATATTCAAACACTTTCTATTAGGATATGAGTATCACTCCAGAGGAGAGAATCCATGCATAGTACTATACACATGCAGATTAAAATAAAACTGGGATGGAGACAGAACACAGACTCTGAGTGGTAGATGAATACTCTTATCATTTATTCAGGTGGATTTGTTGTTGTAATCTGTACAAAATAAGTTCTCCGAGGTCAATGATATTTGAAGATAAGAGATGTCACCCATGGAACAAATCAAGGATATCTCTCAAAGGCTTTCAATCAAAATCTAGATTACATTCTCATGGTATATTCTAACACAAGGCTTCTAAATGTGTTAGGACCAACCCCTTTGATGATAGAATGACACTTTCACTGGGGTCTGCTGTGGTCATCTGCTTGTTAGATACTTGCATTACAATAAATAGCAGAAAAATTACAATTATGAAGTAGTAACAAAAAGTTTTTTATTGCTGTGGTCACCAGAGTATAAAAAATATATTAAAGTATCATAGAAATTTGAGAAACTGTGTAGGCAAAAAATAGGATTTTATTTATCCTCTAATTACAGGATAAAGGCCTTCACTCCAGGGAGTTTTTTGGAATAAAGCATTCTGCTTTTGCTCTATATGCTGTTTACTTTTGGAGCCTTCTCCAATATTTCTGAAATTGGAGAATAATTGAATTGAATTCTTATAATCATGAAATCCATTTCCTTAACTAACAGCATGAACCAGACTCTTGGGCATGAATAAACCTCAGAGTTATTTCTCAGGCCTCCATAGTCTGCAGAACATGTCATCCTAGTGTGCTTTCAACCTCACTGTCAATAACATTTCTTTTAGGATATATACATCTAAACCAAGTATCTAAGTCACATGAATTACAGCAGGCTGCCAGATTGATAGTCCCCAAATAAACAGCATCTGGAAACACAGAGAAGTTGTAGTGGAGTTTACCTGTCTGACGCCTTATTCACTCTTTACCATGGTCAAAATTAGAGAGATATTGTAGGGCCCCCTCTGTTTTCCACCATGAGATAGAGAGTGATTATTCTCATACTCCTTTGTGAAAGTTTATAGTTTCCAGTGTCAAACAATTACTAATCTGAATTTGGCCCCATACAACTGTTCCGATGCCATAAATAGCACCTATTTTAACTAAGATCAAGAATCAAGAAATCACAAAGAACCATTGCAGTGATATATTAAAACAATGGATTCCATCTTTGCTATTTTAATACAAAGAAACCACTGTGTAACAGTGCTCCTTAGTTGTGTGTGTTCCACACATTGTGGGAGCCCACAAGAGACAAGTTTTCAATCTGGAGACTATTCTGACCTATAAGACATTAGCATTCAAGCTTTCTTGTTTTAGTCTCCTTCAGAGCTTTGAGACAGTTCTTATTAAACCATGGGAAAGAGCATATTATCTAAATAGAAAGTTTAGTGTGCCAGGCATAGGATCAGGAACTAGTGAGATTTACAGAGATCTACAATGTTGACACCATCTGGCAACAAAAGCAACAATGGCGAGGCTACCTTAAATGCCCTTCCC